GATCCATCAGTAACATCTTCAATGTCCTTGATGGTCGACCTGAAAATATCAATTTTCGGCCGAGCTGCTTCTGACAATAATTCTTTAATATCAGCATTAATTAAATTCTTCTTCATTGTTGCCGCTGCTGGTCGTCCCATCCTGTTAATGCCAACAAATTTGATAGGTACAACAGTTTCATCATAAAGTGCAGCCTCAGCCGAATACACCCTAGCTATAAAGGGTTTTTTATCGGCCTCAACAATTTTTACCTCATTTCCATCCCAAAAAATCAACATTTGATGCAAGGTTGATGGGATGCACATGTTAGGATGAATCTAATCTCGGCCTAAAAGGAGATTATAGGCCGCGGTTGAATCAATGATAAAGAAAGCCGTAAAGGATGTCTTACCGCCAATAGTAATTTCCAAAGGTAGAATACCTTTGGTGTTACTAGATCCTCTATTAAAACCACTGATGGCCACGTCGGTTGGAACTACATCATCCATGGTTTTACCCAATTTCTTCAAAGTAGTTGATGGAATGACATTCACCACCGAACCATTGTCAACCAAAACCCTATTGATTGGCTGACCCTCAACCCATACTTTAACATACAACGGCCTCAACTGCTGTGTCATGGACAAAGGTGGTTTTTCAAAAATGATTTTATCGGCCTTAGATGGATGATCCTGAGAGATCAATCCTATCCCGGCCGATGAACTTGTCAAATCGTTCTTAATTTCTGAAGATTCAGCCTTTTCTTCCTGCTTGGCTGACTCAACATCCCTGTTCACCGTTGGTTCTATCCTTGCTTCAAACACAGAAGGCAAAACAAATACCATGTTACAATTTACCTTATCCGGGAGAGAACCAAAACGAATTCTGTACTTGGCCGCATGCTTTGGATCCTGGTCGGGCTGATCATCTTTTTCTTCATAAAAGCATGCCTTATTCTCAAAGGATGTAACGACCTCCATGTCTTCAGCCACCACTGGTTCAATTTTCCTTTCTAGTTGATCATGGTTGATCTTGTCTTCTTTCCTTTTGAGTTCTGCATTTTTCCTTTGCATCCTCCTTTTTTGGGTACGTGTAGGAGGCTGCTTAGGAAACTTTGGGTGACTTACTCGAGTCCATCTGCCATGGTCAACCAAAGGAGGTCTAACCGTTCTTACACGGCTAGATTCTTCTCCTTTTTGAACCCATATTTCTGACTGAATTGTTGGTTTCCTTTTGAAACTAGGATAAAAATGTTGTTCTGGCAGGACTCTATCGGCCACCGATGACCGAATGATTCTCACTGCCCTCGGCCCATTTTCTCTAAATATTGATCGATTGATTTCTTCGTGATTCTGTCTAGGCTGATGGCCTAACCTTTCATGGACACTGCGCTTTCTGGTTGATTGGAAATAGCCCCTCTTGTCTGAGTCATTCCTTTGGCCTTTGCAATTTGGACAACAACCATGGTTGATGAGGGCAATTTGAGCTTCTCTTAACTAAATTTCCAAGTCCTTAACTTTCTGCTCATCATTACTGGCCGATGAACTACCAAGAACTTTTGGTAATCTTTCCTGTCTACCATTATCAGCGGCTTTTTCAGTTGCCAGGCTGATTACATTGGTACTGACAATATTAGGAAATGGATCGCCATCGACCCCCATTACATCTGGCTTCTTTTCAGGGAATTTCAATACACCTTCATCGATAGATTTCTGCAATACATTTCTAAATACATAACAATTGTTAGTAGTATGATTCCATGAATTATGAAATTTGCAGAACTCTCTTCCTTTTAAATCATTGGTAGATGGTATATTGTGTCCTTTTGGCAGAACGATTTGTTTGTCGGCCAACAAATGATCAAAAATTTGTTCTGTTTTGGCCAGATCAAACGTATAAACCTTACCAGTATCAGCCGTACCCTTCCTGGCCGATGTAGTCGATGGCTGAGTACCACTGGTGGATACATTTGGTTTTGTTAAAGCGTCACATACATAAGGTTTCTTTAGAATGACTTCGGCCAAATTAGCTTCAAAATCTTCCTCTTCAACCATATCAGTTGAATAAACTTCATAGTTGGGGTCCTTATAGTACGTACCTTTAGAGGAATTTTTTCGTTCTTTCTCCTCTTTGAGAACCAACTCATACCTGGTAGCTTTCTCGGCCAGGTCATACATGTCACGAAATGGAACTCCTTCAAACCTCTTCCGAAGTTCAAAATCAAGGCCGTCCAAAGCCAAACGAATGTACTCTTGTTCTGGAAGAGGTACACGACATCTTAATCTTGCACTCCTGAATCTTGCAATGAATGTCTCGACCGATTCACTAGGCAATTGACTTAGCCTGGATAAATCGGCCAGAGCAGGTTCTGTCTCCGTACGGTAGAACTGATTGTGGAATAATTCCTCCATCTGTGGCCAATTAAAAACAGAGTTAGGAGGTAGACGAATATACCATGAAAAAGCTGCCCCTGTCAAAGAGTTAGGAAAAAGTCTCAATTTCAACCACGGGCTAACATTGGCCTCTCCACATTGAACCGTGAATCGGCCAATGTGTTCCACGGTCGATTGATTCCCCTCTCCACTAAAGGTTACAAAGTCAGGGACTTTATATCCTCTAGGGAACTCAACTTGGTCTACCACTTCTGGATAAGGAGTTCTATAAATTGGTCGGCCGGCACCTCTAAGTTCCAGGCCATATTCTTCTGTGAGTAAATAAGCTAATTGTCTTCTATCTAACATGACTTGAGGTGGCTGATTTAATATTGGTGGTACCTGATTAAAAACTGGCGGCTGATTAGCCGCTGGTTGATAGCAATTCGGCCAATTATGTGGCTGATTAGCCATATTTTGCCCCCCGAGCCCTGCCTGTGGCGGCACATGAGTATACAGTGGGTTCGGTGGCCTCTACCTGATCTGATTGCCCCCCCGAGTTCAAAGGCATCCGAGGAGGGTTTGGTAGAATTACCTGTGGCTGCGAACCTACTACCGGTGGCTGATTAGAACCTGCCAACGTAGGCTGAGGATAGCTTTCTGCCTAGGTGAGTAGCGTATGAACCGGCTGACTTGATGTTGCAACTGGTTGGAGTGTCACTACTGGCGGCCATGGCTGTGATGTTTCAACGGCCCTCTCTGGCCGAGCAGCTTGGGATAGATTCGGCTGAGAAGCCGATTCCTGATTGTTGGAGCTGCTAGCTTGAGTCGGCTTGTTCAAAATAAAGGCTGAGAGTTGGGACATATTTTCATGCAAGTCGTTGTAGCGTGCTCCCATCCTTCCCATTGCATCTACCAAGGAGCTAACCTGTGCCTGAAGTACGGCTAACTCATCAGTAGGACCTGCTGCAGAGTTCTCAGTCTGTACTGGCTGATCGCCTTCCTCCAAATCTTCATCAGTAGCAACGGCCTTAGAATTTTTTGTGGGCCACGGCATATTTGCCTCTTTTATAACACTCTAGTAGTGGTCCCACCGGGCGTGCCAAAACGTGTTCGCGCGGTTTTTGTTCCCTACGCCGGTCGATGGACTCTTCGCGGGCGTGCCAGAGTATTTGTACAAAATACCCAAAATATGTAATTGAACACCAGCCTATCCCTTTTTCCGATGGCTGACTCTCAGGCGATTGTGTGGGAGAGAGACTAGTAAGAACTCCCAGCAAGGTTCTTTTATGTCTTGTTTGTAGCAAGGACTTTTAGAGTGTCTAAAGAAATGCAACGGCTGATGAATGTTTGAATGGATGGAATGGCCGAGTGAAGACAGGCGGCAAGAACTTAATCGATCGCCGGCCGAACGTGATGGCGAGAACTTAATCAATCGCCATCAGCCAAACACAATAGCAAGAATTTAATCGATCGCCACTGAAACGTGATAGTAAGAATTTAATCAATTGCCATTAGCCAAGTAATGACAAGAATTTAATCAATTGTCACTACGATTCAATGGCAAGAATTTAATCAATTGCCATTGAATTAAAAGCCTAACTAAAATTGCGTAATTTAAATTGGCATAATTGAAATTGAAAGAAAGTAAATGGCTGAATTGAAATAGTTGACAATGATCTAATCAATTGCCATTAAATTGAAATAAAGAAACTGATAGGAAAAAATGACGTAGAGTCAATTGAAAACATTTTTAGTTGAAATGCATGTTTTGTGGTGGTGCTGGACAGATTGGAATGGAATACAATACTTCTATTTATAGAAGTTCTATCTCAACCTATTCTCCTAATTAATTGCTAGAAAATCTCTTTTGCTTCAATCATTTTTTTCTTTTGAAATTCAAACCGAGCTACGGCCCAACATTCCTCGCCTTCAATATCGATGCTCCAGTTTCAATGGGAAAGTCTTTACTGAAATCTCTCTTTTCCTTGATTTGCTTCACTTTGTTGCTGAAAATAAGTCGTATTCCAGTAGTCTTTCACATCTCTTCTCCTCTTGTTTCGTCTTACTTCAAATAAAATACCTTTGTTGAAGAAAATATTAATTGCTAAGAAGTCGGTAGAAAGCTGCTGGAAGATTGCTAATAAGCTGCTGATTTTTAGCAACTTCTTTCTTCAAGCTTTGACTGAAATATTCCTTTAAATGGCTGGAAAACCATTTATAGCCTTGACCCATACGCTCACGTGGCTCCCCCTTTCTTTTTGAATTTCATTTCCATAAGGATTCAATTTCCTTTCTTATAACTAAATCCCTATTTTTTTAGGAACTTAATTATATCACCTCAGCCAACCTCTCCCAATGTTCTATTTCTGACGAAATTTCCTTTTAAAATTAACACAAATCTCGGTTATTTAGTAACAACCCTTTTGGTGAGGTGGCTGAATATATATAGATATCCTCCTAAATCTTCTCCTACTATTTCTCCATTGGCCGACCATTCTTGGACATGCTCAACCCTTATCGGCTTCCCATTGGTCCACGTCGCTGCTGAAGTGGCTGCCAAGTTTTGGTGCCAACATATATATATATGTATTATGAATGAATTGTGATTGATGCTGTGGTGTGATGATGATTTTGTGGAATATACAGAAGTGGAGCAAGGGAAAGCAGAAGGAGAAGGTGAACAACATGGTGTTGTTTGACAAGGGTACCTACGACAAGCTCCCAAAAAGAAATCGTGAGAATTTTCTCTCTAATTCAAAAAATAAATGCTAATTATGTCATTAGTAATAAAATTATGAAAATCAGGACATTTTTTTTTTTTTTTTTTTTCCCGGAAGGTTGAAAATCAGGACATCATCCTGAACAAGGCCATGATATCATTAGCCCATCATTCAACCATTAGATTTTACCATGATTTCACTAGCCCATCATTCAACCATTAGATTTTACGCTTTGTTTGGAATCAATTATTTTAGGATTTGGAAAAGGAATCTGAATTGGAATTAAAATGAAATTCTAAGCATCTCAACCATTAGATTTTAAAGTATCTCTCAACCGTTGGTTCGCTAAAGTTTGAGACATAATAAGGAGGAGTACAGCGGCGGCAGGAGAAGACTTCAGTTCAACCACATCATTCCGCGGACAACTCTCTCTAATATCGAATCTAGAAGGTCATGAAAACATGTTCTGTACATCGATACAACTCTCTGTCTCTCTTAGATCGAATCTAGAAGGTCTTGTAAATTACCCTTTCATCATGAATTTTTTTTTTTCTGCATATCTTCTTTTTTCATTCTCGTCTGAGACAAAGATCGGGTTTAATATGATTTTGCCTTGTTGTTAATATCATAATTGTTAAAATTCCGGATCTTAGAATCTTATAAAGCTCTCATATGCATGCATGTGATATTTGCTGCCATGGCTCTTAATAATAATGGCATATCTGATCTTGTGAATTCCAGAATCATGGAATATCTATGATGGGGAGTCTATATATGTATGTAACTTTGCTTTATTGTAAATTCATTTCTTTCCTTGTGCAATACTTATTGTTTTGCATCGTGGTACATACAAAATATAGTGATCCTTATTAGCCTGGTACTTACCTGGAGATTATACCGTTTTCGATGGAAGATCTTCAATCGACAATTCCTTCAATGGTTGACGTCCTGAAACCAGTTCAAAGAAAGATCCTTTTTTGTTCTTTTTTCAAGGAGATCATTGACAGACACTATCTGTTCAAAATTTATGCTGCTATGTACTTGTACATTATCGGAAGAGGATTACCGGTACCATTATTGGCATGGCACAGGATTTTGTAGGAAGCAACAACATAAGCCGCCTTCTACCAATTGGCCAATTTGGAACTCGTTACCTAGTGAGGCGAACAAACAACTTTCAGCTCTCCAAATTGATTATGAAAAATTACTATGTTTGCTTTAACTTTCATTTCCTAGATTAATTTGTTTTATCACAGGGTGGCAAAGATCCCGGTGAAGCATTTATAATAAATACTCGGCTGTCTCCCATCACACGGACCCTCTTCCCCAAAGAGGATAATCTTCTGCTAGACGGACAATCGATTGAAACTACTGGGTGAGCTTTTTTACCAGCGAATCAGTGTGTAGGTAATAAAGGTATTGGGCATGACAAACTAATCTGTTTTATCATTCAGGTACATACCAATTATACGAATGGTTCTAGTCAATGGAAGCCGAGTCACCCGGGCCAGATTGAGGTCTAAGATCCCAAATTATAATCCATGGGACATTGTTTCAAATGTTAGGCGTTTACTGAATGATGAGCCAATGGAGCCATGGTACAAAGGATTTGGAGGAACCATTGAGAAATTGGTTACAAAGAAAGCGGGGGTTATCTACATTGTGAGTGGAAAAATCGACCAAGTCGATGACGAAACACTTCGGATCACAGAGCTACCAATCGGTGTATGGACTCGAGATTATATAAAATTTCTCAAATCCAATATGACAGGAAGTGATCCATTCATCAAGGTATTGTTTTTTCTTTTCTTATTGTTGGTACCAGCACTACAACACGCGCACACACATGCACTGGCCCACTATTGTCCCAATAGGAAGGTGGATGATGAGATACCCTAATGTCTCCGCGATATTTTATTTGTTATTGTTGGTACCAACACTCCAAGACCGACCTACTATTGTCCCAATAGGAACTTGACCTACTATTGTCCCAATAGGAACTTGAACACCTTGAATATTGGAAGTCCAACACCTTGAATTATCATGTGGGAGGAGATACCTTAAAGTTTCGTATTTTATTTTATTTTGTTCTTATTGTTGGTACCAACACTCCAACTCTCTCTCTCACACACACATGATGCTGTCTGACCTAGTACGGTACGATAATACCTGAACTGAACTGTAAATTTTGAAGTTTAGGGGATTTCTTAGGAGAGAGTATTGTTCAGGAGGTTTATTGCACTTCACCCTATTTCTTAGTTGGTACCAACACTCCAAAACCGACCTACTATTGTCCCAATATTGTAACTCGAACACCTTGAATTATCATGTGGGAGGATATACCTTGAAGTCTCAGTGGTATTTTATTATATTTTATTCTCTCTCACACACACACTCCAACTCTCTCTCTCTCTCTCACACGGGGACGCAGAGACTGATCTACTATTGTCCCAATAGGAACTTGAACACCTTGAACTATCTTGAACTATCTTGTAGGAGGAGATACCCTTAAATGCTAAGTGGTAAATTTGGTAGCTCTTGATACATTAATATAAACAAAAAAAGTGTAGTGGAAGATTGGAATAAAAATATCAGAATTTTCATGTTGTAGGATTACAGACGGTACGGTAGTACCAGAACTGCACAGTTTGAAGTCCGATTATCTCAGGGGAACATGCTCATGGCCAAGCAAGAGGGTTTGCTTAAGAAATTTAATCTTACTAATGTGATCACCACAAGTGACATGCGCCTGCTCGACCCAAAAGGCAATCTCAAGAAATATGACACCCCAGAACAAAGTAAGAAGAAAAATCCATACCACAAACTAATTTAGTTAATTTAACCTCTATGTATTTAACTTTACTTTATTTTAAACTCATTTATTTCCTTATGCAGTTCTTGAGGACTTCTATCCTATAAGACTAGATTTCTACGCGAAAAGAAAGGCAAATTTGGTCAAAAACGAAATTAAATTGGTGATATTTGAATTGCTTGGTTACATTGTGTAACTAGAAAATAATTTTGTGCAGGAGTCTATGTTGGAAAATCTTGAAATGGAATTGTTGGAATTGGACAACAAAAGTAGGTGCACGAGTGGGGTTGCCAAAGGAGACGTTGTATTGAACAGGAACCGCGCTGATCTGTTAGCGTCGTTGCCAGAGAAACGCTTTGCAAGTGGGGAAACAAAAACTCCTGAAGAAGCAGTTTCTGCAGAAGGTTATGGATCATTGCCAATGAAGGTCTTTAGTGATGAGGTGTTTAACAATGAGTTAGTTGCTGCTACGGATAATAGGCGTGCTAAGGATAAACTTAAGAAACGGCTTGATGATATGAAAAATGCAACTCCAAAGTCTTTGTGGAAGGAAGATCCGGACGAACTTGAGATATTATTGTTAAAATATGTTCCCGAGGGTGTGAAGCCTAGGGAAGGTCCAAAAGAAGGCTCTGATAGAGGTAGCAGCAGCAGCATGCCCGCAACAATAAAATAGGGCGCCGGAAGGCTATCCAAGTTCAGAGCTCTCAGAATGATTATGCTGCTGACGACTACTGCAAAATTACAAATAGTAATAATAATGGAGATGATGATAAATTATTCAAATTAGTACTGTACATAAAAACAATTACTATATTCTTACAATAATTGCCTTTTTTCTAGTAGATTTGTTTTTAAAATATAGTAATTGCTTTTTATTAATAGTTTTGTTTTTAAATTTTCATATTTTTATGGTCCTAAATTCTACCCAAGATTTTTCGAATTGAAACGATCTAACTAAATTTATTATAATTTAATAATATAATATTTATCAATTAATTAAATCTTCAAACAACATAAAAATAGAGATTTAGTGGCTTAGAAATTAAATAGAAAATAATTTTAAAGTAAGACTATTGGTCTTATTGAAAAGTATGGAACCTTGCTCGCTAGAATTGATTACAAATTTTTCCAAATATGGTATTAGGCTTTATAGCATTACTCTACTAATCCAATTGTTCAAGCCTTAGAGGCTCCACACTATTCAATCTGGTAAGACGATTTTCTGTGTGTATTTATTTTTGTTCTAAGGTTTAGTCATTAGTTGTTCGACTTCCTTACTCTGCCTATTGGAACTATTATTAGGCTTGGACATTGGTTGCCTAAACCGAAAAAAAAAAAAAAAACAGCATATTTTCAAAAATAATTTGTGTAAATTTTTACGAAATTTCCCCAAGGGCTACTCATGTTGAAGCAATAATGTAACAAAATCAACATAATAAGAGAGTTCACTGTGAAATTGTATAATAATCTTGGATCGCGTACGTTGTGTATTTTGCTCAACGATATGAACTTCATGCTCATAATCTGGTATTCACATACTTATTTGGGCATTGTCATTTTCAAACCTCTGTATCCTATGTTAGCGTAGAGTATTTGATATTGTTGTTCCGTTCTTGTTCCATATATGTTCTTGAGTTGAATTCTCTTTTATTACTTCAAATGTTAACTCTAGGATGATCTCTTAGTTTCACGAAGTAGACACATAGGAAGTATGTACCACACTAGTATTTCTTATGTTACTCTTGTGAGGCCAATGAATTCTAGATTATCCTTATAATGCCCTTTTCTGTGGAGTAATTTAAATTATTCACCTTAATTGATTTAACATTTTTTAGGTAAAAAGGTACTTTTTTTTGGATGCACACCACCCTTAGCTTGACTTGACTTGTGTGTTGTTCTGGACATCTTTTCCTTCTTGCTCACATGCAAAGTGTTTAGCATGCTTTTATACTATTTTGGTTTTTGGTAAATGTGGGAATGTAATATGCATATTTTGAGGAGGGAAATGATTTGAGAACTTGTAGAGGCTGGTCCCCTTTTTCCGTTTATTTTTCGGGTTCGGGTCTTGCAGGACCAGGTAGAGTCAAGTACTCGGGAATAGTTCCCGACACTTCTTTTATTTAGGATTTGTGTTGCACTTGTTTTGTTTTATCTTTTATTATTTAGGGTTATTTGTGAGATTAAGTTTTAGGATATTTTCATTTTTGGGGGCCTTCATGCTAATATGTTTTGGAAATATTTTTCTTTGGGGCAATAGTATGATTATCTTTTTAGATATTTTCTTGAAGAGATTTTTGTGCAATTAAGGAAAGTTGGAGACGTGTGATGTTTTGATTTGGCCATGTGTTGGAAAGAGATTGATTACATGTGAGGGGCTAGGATAGTGACAAGTGAAGGGTGGAGATGTGTGTGTGTGTGAGAGAGAGGTTGTGCTAGAGTGTGTGTTTGATTATATCATCTTACCTTGGTTACTTTTTTTTCCTAATCTTCATCTTCTTCTTCTCTATAACCCTCTTCCATTTATAACCAAACTTGGAGCTTGCTTTGCCATGCCTTCCACTCACCTTTTTGACTTTCCATAGGAGGGAGAAAGGTTGGGGACACTAAGGGCTTCAAAACCTTTGTCCCTATTTTCATTTTCGGACACCTTTTAGTGTGGGGTGGTTTAGACCTTTGATTTATCCTTTGCAATTGAAGGGTTTTGTGTTGGCCTTGTTAACGACCATCTTTCCATCGATTAGATTTTCATTTGGATAGTTCTTGAGATTTTGGAGTGAGTTCAGGTTTGGATTTGAAAGGTGCCGCAAGAGGATTAGTTGTTCTCCTCGTTGTCCTCGACATAACCCCGGAGTTGCATTACTTTTGGAGCGGTTTCATTTTGGCTTCATTTGAGATTTTCACCTCAAATTGAGGTAGGGGTGTCTTATACTCATAATTTACATTCCTTTGGGTCTTATGGATGTGGAGTTATGTGAAGCATGATTAATTGCAATTTGTATATGTGAGCCATGCTTAATTTGACTATATGTGTATTTTATATCATATTAAGTACTTGTAATGTCATCCTTATATCTCTTGTGTTTGTATTGGATTTTAGTAATTGTCAAACATGATAGAAATGGGAGGAAATTGAGTATTTAGTTGTCTTATATTTGTCTAAGCATAATATAGGTTGAAATAGAGATATTGTTGATAATTGTATGTATATGTGTTGGTATACATTATAAGGACTTGATTGAATGGCTATTGAGTAGTCTAGACTTTGTTTTAGCATTGTGATTTGTTAAGCTATTATTCTTTATGTGTGAATCACTGTGTGAGTGTCACTTTGGCCATGGGTATATAGTGGTCCTCATTTAGTTTAAGGATTTGGAGGTTGTGTTTGTAATATATGCATGACATAATGTAACGACCCAGCTCCTCTTGGATCCGGATCATTAAACGGGTCCTTACCCGACCCAAAAACGTCCGAGGGTAATACGGTCATTTCACGTTAAATTTACATATCAAGGTCCGAAAAGGGCAAGATGGTAATTTGCCATATTCCAATAAATTAAGACTCAAAGGACGTAATAGTCATTTACGTGAATCACATAGCAAATAAAGTGAGGTTCGGAGTAATATAGTCCTTTCGATGGTGAAAATATAATTATTGCATTTTAGTGGGTCATAAAATAATTACGTGTAACCTCACTGGGGTGTCAAAGTGTAATTTAAGAATTTAAAATAGAAATTACATATGAGACAGAAACCGGTTGACGTATATACAATACACGTTGACTGGTTTGGGCTATGAACAGTGGAAAACCTATTGCCGAGATAGTTTGGAACGTGTGTTACAATGCATACCGGTCGATGTATGGGAAGCCATACGCGATTGGTTTGGTTTGCAACGTGAGCCACAATGACTCACACTGAGAAGATATCGGTCGACGTATAGGAAGCCACACGTCGACCGGTTCTGGGAAACTCTCACTTCTTTTCCCACTGTCCAGTGATAATCCAAATACACCAACATTGGTAATTCAACCACCCACGCCACTACACTTACGTGTAATTTTAAATACATTTCAACACTAAATTGCAATAATAACAACCACGTTGTTAACGTAATTTACCACACATTACTTAAAATATACCAACTGATTTTGAGTGAGTAAAACTTAATTACATTCTCTCAAATAACCATATACACAATGAACCTCAATACATCACACATTGCAAAATAATACACCTTGAGTTAGTATTTTACAAAATTAGGTTCATTTACAAAAGATATGAAAAATGGCATTTCTCTACTCCAAGCTAAGGCTAAGTTGGATTACCGTCGGCTACTTCTTTTCCATGATCTGAAAAATGTAGAATATGATGGGGTGAGCAATATGCTCAGTAGGTGACACTTAAGACACGTCTCTTGTGTCCCCGTGAATCCAAGCAAAGAATAGAGCGATAGGAATCGGGGTCATACAAAGTCGGGAAAATACAACATCATATCCGAACTTAACATTAACAATATAATGCAATGGAATGTAATGCATGTCATTGTCACTCCCCATTTTCAAAACCGTTCATCCATCACTTTCCAAATTGTTAATGTAATTCCCTTTGGTGACTCCGCAGCGCCGAGAGAAGGATTGGCTACTGTCCCTGACCTTTGGTGACTCCGCAGCGTCATTTTGGGGCCCAGATAGCTCAACCACGCTAGGGCAATTTCCCTAATTCCCTCTAGGGTACATTAACCTACCGGCCCGTTGGTGACTCCGCAGCGACCGGGTTTTATCAAAACATTTTCATCAATATAGTTTCCTAAAACTCCCCATTTTCATTTCAAAATCAATTCTTCCCATTTCTTGCCCAATGTAAATGTATAGATGCATTTATGTCATGCCAATATACTCATCATTACACAACCAACTCAATTCAAGTAAGCAATGCATAATTTCACAAGAATTTTTCAAGAAATTTCAACATACTCTTATACAACAATACCTCTAGCATAACGAACATATATAAATCATCACATAGGCAAATTTTCCACATAAAACATTAATTACAAGCTCTCACATACCCACATACACATGTTCTAACTACTTTTAAACTACAACTAGTACAAATAAGCATGTCTTGCAATAATTTAGAAGATGTAATTCACATAGGAGTAAGAAAATTGTGGATTAAGAGCCCCTACCTTGATTTTGAGCAAATCCTTTAAAATGGGCCAAGAATTTCGAAAATGCTAGGAAGCTCCAAATCTAAAATTGTTGGTATGAACGCGTAGAGTTCGTTGTGAGCTTCGTTTTGCCTCAAACGACACTTAAATCCACTAAGAAATGGAGGAGAAATCAAGCTTCAAAGGTTTCTTCTAAAAAGAAAAGAAAAATGGAAGAAAAATGAGAGAGGGAAGAAACTAGCGGGGAGAGAGAAAAAATGAGGGGAAAAAGAATGGTCTCTAGACCATTTAAGCCTTAGTGGTGGGTCCCACCAATTCTTTTTATTTCCTCTTTTTCTTTTACACCAATTTCTACATCACACTGATAAAAATGCACCACTTACAAATACCACTTAACCCACATAAATTAAAATGTACAAATGCAATTGGGCTCTACTACAATCCCCGCACGCAAGACATGAAAAGACGAAAATGCCCTTGCGGCGACAGAATCTCCGGAAAAATGAAAAATGCTGAAAATCGGAAACGTTATACATAAATTGGAGGATAGACGCTATTCTAACTTTGAAAAAGAGGGCCCGGTGCCCAAGGGTTGAAAATCTCTACTAACATTGGCCAATGGGGTGCGGAATGTTATTCCGGAGATTCTAGCACATATTATTGCGGGTGCGA